ATTATTTCCATTAGAAGTATTTGGCCCAACTTCGCGGGCCGCCAACAATTAAAGCCACGGCGAAATGAAATAAAATTAGCATAAGCCATTCACATGACTGGGTTCGAAGCCGCTTGTCATTTTTTTTTGTAAACTTTTTTTTTGCTGGGGAATATGAAATAAGAATAACAACAAGCGTCAAAGCCACGTATCCACTACAGATGCTCAACAACTTTAGCAACATTTCAAGATTTCTAATTTTTATTTGCCTCGCCGCAGTTGTTGGTGTTGTTTCTAATTAAGTTTGCCGTAGTGCTTGGATTTTTTCTCAACTTTTTATATGTTTTTTTCTTTTTCTGAAGCCTCGAGACCTGTTTTTATGAAACCTGGGCACCCCCCGCAAAATGAGCAAATGGAGGGCGAAGAGGGAAAAAACTGGAATAATTCTGGGCTCGGGGGAATTTCTATTTAAGCATCTATATCTAGACATACATAAAGGTATATACGCGGTTCGATTGTATCAACATTATTTGCAAATTGTGGTTTTAAATAATTAGCAAATAAATTATCGGCATGGAATAGAGTATTCCACGAAAACAATCTGACGGATACTTCACGTGAGTATCTGAGTATCTGATCATCATCACCCCGAGTGCAGTTGTTAATTAATAAGAAACTGAATTATCTGCTGCCCCTTGAGAAGCTATATTATTCAAACGGAACTGGCTTTTAGTAGAAAATAAATGATCGTTGACTGGACTCACACGAATGTCGTTGAAAGCGTACTAATTGTGTTCACTTAATATTTAACTCTATCCATTATATTTTCTTCACAATATTTATTTTAGAAACTATACGTTTGGCCAGCATTTGTCTGATTTATAACCTTTATTCCGGCATTTCAGGGTCACCAGTAATAATCGAGGGAATATAAGACACCATTGCTGTGCACAATAAATACAGGCATTTGAACATAAATCAATTGTTGGTTGCAAAATAAAATGTTGCCCAAGTTCGAGGTCAGAAGACTGAAAGCAAATACCTCGTACCTTTCAATTATGAATGTTTCAAATTAATCATGGCAATCCTTTGGGTACGTCCTCATAATTATTTTTCACTACGAAAACAAAAGGGGGCTTTCTCGAAAATTATCTCCGGTATCTGACTGCTTGAAAATGTCGCTCACGTTTCGGCAATTTGTTTTCAAATTTCTCTTGCTTATTTATTTTCCGCAAAAAAAAGAAAAAACAAACCCCAAGCCGAATGGAACTCTCCTGTTCCTTGGAAAAATAAACAAGAGCTCTGTTTAAATTCGGTACCAGCAAATGCTTGGGCTATGATCTCATCGAATTCAAGGCCTAAGCGCAAACCGCAAGATAAATAAATAAAAAATAAGACACGAAACTTATCGCCGATAATTGCAATACACAGAAATCAGCACGTTCTCGTAAACTGAAATTTAAGCGATGTGCTGTGCCGTTGATTAACCGATGGAAATCAGCCACGGAAGCGAAAAGCGGCCCAAACTTGATTAGCATTTTTGGGGCCAAAATCAACGCAGATATGGTTGCAGATATAGCTGCGACGGTGCCTGCAATTGTAACTGCAATTAAAATGCAATTGTTCATGAGCGATTTGACGCACTCGTGCTAAACAAAAACTCCCAAGCACAATCGAGTTTGAATTCGTTCGAATCAGTGCACTTCTTTTTAAATTTCCTTTTTTTAGGTCTGCAATACACTTGCAACAAAAGTAAAAGCGTTTTAGGAGCCATAATAAATGTCATATATCTTAGAAAGCATTATAACAAACTCTCTCCAACTCTCCTCCAACAACAAACTAATTACACAGTATCGATCAATGGCCCCTCACAATGCCAATATCTAATTAAATCGAGTTAATTAAGCCATGCCATTTAATAATCGGATTTCTCCAGGTGCATTTAGCCAATGCAAACAGGACTAAAAAAACTTTCATGCAGATTACCTGCGCCTGCCCACCTGTCAATGGCATTTGCATATGGATTTGGGACTCGTGAGCGGCAGCCCCTCAATCGGCACTTCCCCCCACCCGATATCCCTCGCTTATCCCGAATAGTTCCACATATGTTGGTTGGCATTGCAATTTGTCAACATGACAAATACCAAAAAACTGCAGTCGAGTTGAGTTCCGGACGGACAAAAGGACAGGTGGAATAGCATGGGGCGGAGTGGGGTTCCAAAAGAGACAGGCAGGCATCAAGTAGCGGCATCGTCTGATTGGCGAACGTTTGCTAAATGTATGCATGAAAAATGCATTAGAGCCGCCACAGAAACAGAAGAACAGCACCGGAATACGGGGGTCGGGGGTCGGGGGTCGGGCGTCCGGGGGAAAACGGTGTATTGAGGGTATCCGGCTCGTAGGACCAAATACAACAAGTAGCCAGCTTACAGTGCAGCTTAAGCAACCGAAAGGTACCCATTACTTCAGATTGCATTGTAAATGCTTTGCCTCGCATTGCATATTTCAAAGTCCAACTTCATAATATTTTAAAATAGTTCAATACTGATATGTGAAATGACATCATTTAATAGAGTTACCGGAGAAGGGAATTTTGCCAATATGCCCCCTATCACTATCACTACAGGGTAATAGACGAGTGTATGGTGCACAGACGACATCCTAATGATGACATGCCACACGGAACAACAAGAGGAGACGATGATGATGCTCATGGTGCTGCAGCTCCTTCTGCTTCTTCCACTGCAGCAGCATTTCAATTGCCATCAGGGTTTGGAAATGCATTAGAATCGAGAAGGCTGAGCCTCCTTCGAAGCTTGAAGGCTGCAGATACTTCCCGGCAGCTTTTCCGGCCCCAAAAAGGGGGCCGTGACTCCTGCCATGTGAAGTGAGCGAGGAACAATCGAGTAAGTAGGTCTGTTATGAAGACCCATTCGATATACATACAAGTAGACGGGGAAGGCAGTGAATGTGCTGGCTGGCTACGGGTCTTTGTGTGGCATTTCCGGAACAGACTAATTATCCATTGTGTCAAATTAATTGCATCCCCTGATCATTAATATTATCTCAAAAATGTTGCTTTTCGCCATACCAAATATTTCTTGGCTTAATATTATACATCTGCTTTTAAAGTTTGCTCGTTGAATATTATGGCCACGTCCCTTGTTAAAAAGTCGTTCGGTTTTCCTTCATCTTTCTTAATCTCTTCCACCTCGCACACATCTCCTCTTCAGATCCGAATTTTCCAGAGACTCCGAAAAGTTCTAAGTTAAATTTAGCCAGGCATTCATCAGTCTCCAGCCTCCCTGCACTGAGAAAATATTCTCGAACCTTACAGGTAATGCCTTTTTGATTATCATTGAAAGTATTTTACACCAAACCAAATTTAAGCTTTTTAAATAAACTATGGATGGCAGATTCTTTTATTTTCAAAGTTTTATATTTAACATGCATTGGAGTTTAAGAATTTCCCATCTACCCCCCATTTTTGGCTCTGTGTACCCCGCCGACGTATCTTTTGTGCTTTGTTTGGGTTTTTGTGATAAGCGGGACCCGCTGAGCTTCGTAAACTGCCGCAAATTTAAACGAGATAAATGCTGCCTAATTGCACACAGAAATGAAACTAAATACGGCGGGCGGTGGGTGGTGGGTTGGAATTTTCCGGCCCAAAGTCGCCGTGTGGGTGGCGGCGAGTTTTCAAGCGGGTGGAGCGGTAGATGGTACATCAAATTATAAACGAAAGTTCTCAAACAATTTAATCAGCGGCAACGAACAACAAAAACATTTCACACACACACACACACACACACACACGCACAGTGCGAACGAGAGGGAAGATATGAAAGGAGGACAGCAAGATGCTGGCTCCCCCCTAAAAAATGCTGTAAGATCTGGTTCTAAATGCATTGCCATCGGAAAGGGACGGCGAAACAAGCAAAAGCAATGATACAGAACGAAAGGGGGATAATCAGTTAGTTTCTGGGGGCGTCAAAGGGTCGGAAAACCCGGAGAGGGTGGGCCAAAGTGGAAAGCGCAGAAAATGCAGTCCAACAACAAACTAGTTAATGAGCGTAAGGGGAATCCCACAAAAGTTACAAGAAGAACTAAACTCAGCAAGAAGACAACCACAAATTAGAAAGAGACTTTAAGAGGCGACTTAAGGATACCTTTATACAAAATGTTTAATACTTTAAAGGACTCAAAGGATACGTATATTCAGATGCTTTTAAAAAAAAGCCTTAATATCACCTATGAATGGCTTTTGGAAATTGTTATAAAGCGTTTTATTGGTGTACTCATAAGTATTCATGTTCTTTATTAAGCCCTGACCAGTTCCATGTGAAAAATTCGAGTTGGATACCAATTAAAAGGGTTTTCCTTAAGGAAAAAATATAAAAAAACTGCATACCAAAACTGGCTAATTGAATACGTACAGAGACCGAGTTACAGATGGTACAGAGTACAGAAAGTACCAGAGAATGCCAGTTAGTGCTGGTGGAGGGGGTGGTCGTGTGTGGGGGGGTGGGACAACTTAATTTACCGCTCGACCGGCAAGAGACAGCTTCTTCTTTTTCTGGTTCACATGTCTTCGTTTGCCTAAAAAATCTCAAACGATTTTCTTCGCTGGTTTTCCACATTTTTGTGTGTGCAACGTAACACGTTTTCCAATTAAAATTACATGAAAATTGTTTTTCTTTTTCTGATTTTCTGGTTGTTATTGTTTTTGCTTACCTGTCACTGGCAAAAAGAAGAGCGTAATCCAGAGAGAGAGAGAGAGAGAACAAGCGCGAGCGAGAGAGCAGCAGCGTGTGAGAGAGAGCAAAAATCCTTGTGCTGGCACTTTTCTTTAAATTTTTCTTAATAGATCCTTTGTTGTTGTTTTCTTGTTGTTGGTGGCAGGCCAGAACAACAGGTAAAATAGAGAAAATATGGGAAAAACAGAATCAAAACAGAAACACCGAAAACGAAACAGGCAAAAGGGCAAACACAAAAACAGAAAATAAAGAAAACAAAACACAAACTTTGTCAGCACTTAAAAAAAAAATCGTTTTCGTTTCTAATTTTCTCTTTGTTGAACGCGCGCCATTTTTCTTCTTTCCTTTCTTTGAGAAGGTTTTTTTAAATAGACTCTTTTGTAATTATTTAAATTAAACTGCTGTTGTTTTTTAATTTTGATGGCGAGAGCCGCGGTTTTCGAACTGCGACGGCGCGCCTTTGGAAACCAACTGAAAAAAAACACAGAAATCTGAGAGCGAGAGAGAATGAGGGAATGTGGGAAAGAGAGAGAGAGGGGGAGTGAGAGAGAGCGAGAGCGGCGACGTCAGTGCGAGACACGTATGTCGTTTAAGTCTTTCGTTTTGGTCGTTCTTGTTCTTGCTGCTGCTGCGTTGGCGCAAGCGAGAGAGCGAGAGAGAGAGAGAGCTGAATTTCAGGTGTGGCAACCGGCAAAATCACAAAAAAAATCTTATATTATCCAAGTATACAAGAGACAGAGTGAGCGATGGAACGACACGGGGCGAAACATCATTATGATCTGTCCGGAACTTAATGAGAACGGAGTTTTACATATGAAGACTACTTGTTTCTGGATTTTGCATATCGCTTTTCGGCCTATATAGCTTAGAGCTGTACTATGTATGCATGTCTTGAAGTTTTGAAACTAAGCCTAAGAATAAAACTCCATCATTCGGAGTTGAAATAACTAATTGGGAGAATCAAAAGAACCTCTAAAATCTTTTTACTCTTTTTACTACTCAAAATGTAAACGTAGGCACAATGTCGTTTGGGTAGTAAGAAAAAACCACAAATAACCAACAAATTGTTTGATTTTCAGGGTATGTAAATTAATGTAACTTTATAATGGAAACAATCGTTAAAGATAAGTTAGCAAGTAAAATATTTTATATTATTTCAATAGGCAATTTTTGAAGGAACACGTGGCACAAAAATATGACTTAAGATATTCTAACAAAACGGTTAACAATATTGTTAGACTGTTAATATTAATACAAGTCTTTAAAGCATACATTCAACATATATGCATGTTCCTGTAATAACCCCACTTTAGAAACTGGAAGTATTTGGATGAAATCAATAAAATTGATCTCTAAAAAGATCTCTTGTGGTTTGTAGTAGATTCGTGGTAGATTTGTTATAGATTTGTAATAGTTTTAGGCGCATGGCATGGATCGGATTCTTAGCTCTGTCTCTTCTCTCCTTATCTCTCTCGCTCTCTGTTCAAAATCGGGTCGCTGCTTAGTTATTCCGCACAGGTGTGAGTGTGGCTGTGGGTGTGTGCGTGATACCTGTTTGTCCACACACACACACACGAGCAGCAGAAACAGTGATCATCATCGTCTAAGCCAAGTTGCCTCTTTTCACCTTTCCTTTGGCCATCGAATTCCGCTCTCGCTCTCCCTCTCCCTCTCGCACCCTCTCTTTCTGGCCCGCCTTCTTCGGGTGGCAGTGGGAGGGAGAGGGCTAATGTCGCAAGTAGCCGAGATTCGATTCTTCTTCTTCGCTGCCTTTTGAGCTCGCTTCCTAATCCATTAACGTTTCTCCATCCCTCTCTGCCTCTCTCCCACTCTCTTTCTCACTCGGTCTGTCTTTTTAGCCCTGTCTTCTTCTTCTTCTTCGTCGTCTTCTATGGGTTCGGGTAATTCTTCTTCTATCTCCACCATTAAATGATGACGACGCACTCGCAAGAGAAGAAAAACCCAAAAAAAAAAATAATAATAAATAAATCTGACTTCAAAGATTTTATTAAAATTCAATCAATCAATCGCATAAATGACACTTCGATCTTCGCAATGATGAATGGTTTTGGATCTCAAATCTTTGCCTTATCACCCACACTCTCATAAACATTTATCTATTTAAATATGCCAACGTTCAAAAATGGCCATAAAAATACATGTTTTTATTCGCTTTGTTTTTTAATTATTTTACTAATAATACGTACATACATATGTATGTATATGTACGATTTTGTATTAATGTATCACCCTATATAAAAATAGTCACATAAACAGATAGGTTTATGATTCATGATTTAAGAGTAAATAAAAACACGTTTTAGCGAAATGAAATCAACTTGAAGTAAGAGACCACTTTTAGACAAGATCTGATTAAAACGTCAGTGATGAAAGCATTTTTCTAGACGCCAAAACACATCAAAATTGATGACCAATGTTGGTGACAGATATTTTCTTTGTGCGACGTTGGCCATATAAATAATTGTGTTTTTTTTTTTGTTTTTGCCACGCTCAACGATCAGCAGCGACAACAATTTAGAAAATTAGTTGCACACTCAACGAAACTCGTTCCATTGGCTTTCTAACCGGCAATGAGGCAAGCAGATCAGCGGTACAGTTAGCGGGGCGGCTAAGGGGGCTTTGTATTTGGAGAGGGGAGGCGGCTTATTTTTCGAGGGGCCTACAAGGGGGTGGCGAGTGTGGCAACTCTCCCATTACATCTGCATATGTGGCATGCAATTGGATCTGCCTGGCATATTCCAGATTGCCATTCAATTCGAGTTGTGTGGAGTAAGCGAAAAGCGGAGAAAGAAATCGAGAGCCGACATGGAGCATTCTCGAGCGGGGGGAACCAGTTAAAAGTGGGAGCTAGATTTAGCCACCAGTTGCTGGGGCATAGACTATCATATACCATCTACATATGTGGCCATCATAGCTGGCGTGGAATATCTTCGAAATCTCTCGATGTCTCACATTTACATATATGTATGTACTATCAAGCAAGCAACGCGAATTTGCCAAACTAAACCGTATTTAATTGGTAAAATTCCAGAAAGCAATTTCAAAGATATTTTCACACCAGCTGTTAACTTTTCAGCTGTTCCCATGTTTAACTACCAAGGTATGGCATATTTGGTATTCAACTAAAGCCACACTCTTCTTTGAAAACTATTGCTCAATAAGAATTTTCGTTAAAGTTATCAAGCGTGCTTGAACTTGAATTATCAAGCTGTCACTTGCGATATTGTCAATTGTTTTCTTTGGCAATTTTTTCGCTTGCAATACCTCTGGCCAATTTGCTCGCCTGGACTTTTCCAAAAGCCAGTCAAATGTGCACTAGAAGTGGAAAACTTTCGACTGCGAGTGTTTCGGTCGGTTGTTGTGGCAAATATATAAATTTGTGAAATTGTCAGTGCCACAAGCAGAGATGATTTACCGCCCCGGGGGCTATGCCAGCGACTCATTTATCAAGCAAAAAATAAAGAAACCCGAAAATGAAGAGAGTTCTAAGTTGCGACTGGGAAACTTTCACCGGGTGTCGTTTCAGCACGGTGGGGCAACAAAGGGGGGTATTTTTTTTTTTTTTTTTTTTGAGCTCGCACTTGAGAATCTCGGCCGGGGAATGGGAAGTCGTAGGAAATCATTACTTTTTTTTCGTTTTTTTTTTTTTTTTGGGGTGGTTGGGGTCGGTTTGGGCGGCCAGAGTCTCTAGGTTTTATCCTGGCCAAGCCGAGTCATAAACAAATACGGTTTGCTGCTGTTTTGTTTACATTCGCAGTGTTTGGAGCCCTCGACACCGCCAGCGCCACCGAGCGAAGTCTTTTGGCCAGGGGTCTTTTGGTCTCTTGGCCAGACCCAGACTGGTTTTTCTCCGGCCAAAAAAGGAAGTTGCTCGTAAAGTGGCGAAAGCCGCCAACTGACCCAACAACAAAGTGTGCAAAATAAAAATTGCAAGAAGAAAAATCGTTAAATAAAATAATAAAAGCGCTTTCTTTCTGTCTGCCCCTTATGTTTTTTGTTTTTTGTTTGTGTATGTTTTGTTTTTTGTTTTTTTTTTTTTTTCTTAATATTTTTTGCGGTCTGCGTTTCTACGATTCGATTATTTTCCATATTTTTCTATATGATATTTAGCGATTGCGATTTACACTGATTGGTTTATAATTTTTGGGGTATATTTCGTTTTTATGGTGGCACAGCAAAAAAAAAAAAAAGAAGAAAGATCGAAATATTTACCGCCGCACTCACTCGAAAAAAAATACAACTCGAAAACACACAATTGGTATTTAATCGGCAGGTTGGCCTTTACTTTCATTCAGTTTGCTGTCGGCTCCGATATTCTTGTCACTCTGTTCTGGCTGCCCCCACACGCTGGACGTATCTGTGGGCCTTGGGGATTCGGGTTCGGATCAGAGTCACTATCACACTGTCACTACACAGTTGGTTACTTATTAGCCGCGCTGGCTGACCGTTCACGACGACGCTCCGCGAGCGACTGACCAGCGGCTGCATGCCAGCCAGCGCAGCCCATTCGCCAGTCGCCCAACCGAAGCCATCGAACCGTCGAACCATCGAACCGTCGAGCCGTCGAACCATCGAACATGTTGGGTTGCGTTCGCGACTCCAGGCAGAGCGACTGAACCAGAGGCGCCGCTTTCGCGAGTAATCAATTATCTTATGAACCACTTACCAAACGTAACGTTCAAACCAAGCACTTGTTTGAGATTATTCTATATACTAAGTGCAAGTATACATTACTGAAAAGTAATAAAAGGTAATACTACTAATTGAGAACTCCATAGTTTCAGTGTGTACTTTTCATGTGCTCCGCTGTACGATTAAGTTGTAATATTATTCATTTATGGGCATTTATGGGAGCGGCATTTAATGGGCCCCCGTCTACGCCTGTGACGCAACAACAGTCCAAAGTCATGTTGCAGCGTGCAACGTGTTGCATGTTGTGTTTTCATTCGAACAATTGTTGCTGCCACAGTGCGTGGCGGTTCTAATTGACAGTTTGCCAGAACAACTTGTTGAGTTTATTGTTGTCTTAATGGGGTGCTTATCTGCATCTGCCCCTGCCATCTCCATTCCTGCCACCCCAACACTTTGCTTGCCTCGCGGATTATTGGAGGACAATTCCCTCCGTCTCTCGTCGGCTAAATTGACGATTTGAATATTTACATAAACGATTCTGATTACAATTGAATTTATTATTTAGAGCAGCTACTTAAGCCGCTAAGTCGTTGGGTACATATGATCCCATGTACATACATATGTACATACTCGTGCATATGTGAATTCACTTGTCGGCTGTCGCTTGACAAATTATACCTTTTCATGGGGGAATCGTGTTTATTTTGCTTTCTGAGGGCCCAATCTGCGGCACGGCGACAATATTGAGTAAACAATTGCTGCCTGCCACGTGCAACGTGCTCGATGACAGCAGCGAACGCGGCTCGAGTTGCAAGTCCCTTCAACAGGTTGCTAGGATGCTCTAGAAGACTGGAAGCTCTTACAAGTCCTATGAAAATTAACCCAATACTTGGAATTTCTGCTTAAGTATATAAAAGACCACAAAAAAAAAGAACCTAAAT